GCAAATTTGATGTTGTACGTCGTAGATCAATTTTCTTGGCTAATGTTCAAATATAGTCTTATCAAATCGCCAATATTAAAAAAATTTTTCAGAAATATATGTAAATATTTAATTGGCTACCGATTCATTTTACGCTTCAGAAAATATAAACAATTTTGAAAGTTATTGAAAAAGGAGAAGAATGAGTAAACCGTAAAATTATCATGACAGAATAAAATATAATACAAAAAATTAAATATTTTGCTTTACAGGTCGCCAAACACTGTAGCCACGATCGGTGTCTAACGTGTTTGTATTGTCATCATATATAGAATCATATTGTTTACTCGGTGATACTTGTTCTAAGGTATAATTACCTAGAAAAGAAAATATTATGCATTATTAAACATGATATGATCTTAAAATTATTTTTAAATTCTTTTCATATTATTGGAAGAAATGTTCTAAATCTTTTGATAATATATTCAGAAAAACATAATTTTCATTTCAATACAAGAATCACAAGCTCATTTTCATTTTATTAGTTGTTTTGGTATCAACTAGCAAGACTAAACATGATCGAAGGTTTCCACTTTAACAAATCATTAAATATGAATCTTTAATTTGGACAATTTGGTAGAATTATTCTGAGATACACTTATTAGATTTTAGTTTTGTTATATCAGTCCGATAGTTTTGCAAATAGATATTCGACTAGGAACTACATATTAATCGCATTATCATTGCTATCCTCTCATTTTCTAATATAGCACACCCTCATTTAGTTAAAAGTTTCTTGCAAAACAAAAAGTGTTTATTATTTGATACCTGGTTTCTTGTTACGTTTCCGTCGTCGACAGTAGAAATATCCAGCAATAAATAATAATATACCAACTACCGGGACGAGAACAGCTGGTAAAATGATCGCTAATATTGGCGGACCCTCTAAAACAGTTAGAATGATATCACTTCACAATCAGCTACAATTGGTTTCTCATATTGCATAATGAGAATAAGTTAGTGAGAAAAAATAGAGCATTAGTTAGAACGAAAACAATGTTATTTTATCAATCTGATCAATTGTATACCTAACAAATTTCATACTGAAAATTTCTAAAGAAGTATAAGTCATTTCATTAACATCGGAAAAAAGTTTGTTACTCAATTACAGTAATGATCGGACATATGAGTGAAAAAGATAAATAATGCATTGAGGTATATAACGTAATTCAATAGTTACAAGTCCGTATTTTTATAGATTCGTCCGAATTCGCAGTTTTCTAACTATCATTTATGTATCTATTACCAAAAAGGTATATGATGCAAGTGAATGATTTAGTTCAGGCATTCTTATTGTTGAAACAAAACGGATGACATTTCAATAGTGGAAAAATGACTCGTAAGATGGAATGATCTTTATCAATTCCAGAAACTGTCGCAATCAATATCGCATGCGAAGTCTATTTAAATTTAAACTATGACATTTTTTAGATCTTATCTTTTTGTTATCGAAAGCAGTATCATAGGCAACAATATGATGCGTAACATTTATCAAGCTGTTATAGAAAAATAAGACATTGACACAATCAAAAAGTTCGTCTTTCAATGGTATGAACACAAGAAAGTTAGTCTCTTCAACGAAAAAAAAAAAGATTTATTCAAGAGCTAATGAACTAGACTTTCCTCTCGATTCGTAAGTACTGTATCATGTAAAAATCAAGATATGTATTGTTAATAATTTTCATATTCACATAAGTGAAGTGCTGAAAATAGATGAAAATGGCAATAACAATCGATTGTAGGCTCCTTTTGAAAACTAAGATTAGTCTGGTAATGGTTTTCCAATAGTTAGTGGATTTCTATAACTAAATTTTCGAACAATGTTGAAAAATTCAACAGAAAATCAGACATCAATAAGATTGAGTATAGCGAAGAACTTATTATCTTACAGACAAAGTTTCATTTTTTGCCTGCTTCTAAAAAGATTATCATAATCTGACATTTTATTTCGACAGTAACATTGTTATGCTACATTACACACAGTAGCAACATATCTTCTGATTTGTAATTTATTCGAAGGATCAAACTGCTTACCTGAAGTACTACCTGGAGTTGCTGAGAAGTTTCCAATATTAGTACTTATTGATGAAGACTCATTTAAGAAGGATGTTGTTGTTGTTGTTGCCAAAATTGTAGGATCTAAAACATTATTTTAAACTCTTTTATGTTTATCATATAATTATTCTCCTGAATATATTTTATAAATGAAATATAAATTGACGCTTCGATCAGAACTTTTTTACTATATAGACATAGATAATATCTACTTTATTTTTTGCAGATATGCATTTTTTTCTATTGTCTTTTTTCTTTTATTGAAGGTAGTACGAGAGAGATTGAATACTTTTAGTAAAAATAAACATTATTTGTGTGTATGTGATAGATAAGTTCTGAAAGAGTCAAAATCTGATCAGAACATCAACTTGTATTATTTGAAAAAATATCCAGAAAGAAAATTGTTACCTTATGAACTTGAAATATCTTTCATGGACGAATCTTAACTATCTTACTGTTCTTTTAAATATTGCTTAAAGGGATGGTATTAAAGTAAAAATAAAAGAAAGCAACTGTAAAGTTAATAAGAAAGATTTATTCGAATAAAAAGTCATTGAGCTCACAGTTAGGTGCCTGCTCATGAGTAAAACTAGTTAAAAATAGACTCATGTTTAGTATACTCTTGAGAAATATCACTAGTGATCATGAAAAATATGGAAGACCTCTCTGTTGCATCCATGGTCTGCACACTTTGTAACTATCGAACAACTTTAATTCTTCTATAGTGGTATATCTTCTAAAAAAGTGTCTGATAGTGAATATCTAATGATATTGTAATGTCATATTAGATACACAGAGAAAGACATCGTCAATTGAGTAACAAAAGTTTATCGAAGAACTTAGTCTGACCATTTAATATGTACTAATCAAGAAGAGTTACTAATATAGTTCACGAGAAACAGTCATTTTCTAATGAGAATTATAAAAAAAATTGCGATTCTAAATTTGAATTCATGTGCAACGCAGAAACTCTTCATCAAAATGTCAAACTCTGCTAGACCATATCGTTGACTTCTAAACCAATGAGGCTCTTTTTATTAGACGGAGGCATTTGTGAATTACAAATTTCGTGCTACACATATTTCATAAGAACGAATTTTAGAAACACTAAAAGCTAAAAACCAAATGCTTCTAAATAAAATTTTTTCAATTTGATAAACTCTTTTTATATGTTACGCTAAACTTTGAAGGCAAGTAATTAAATAATGTGTTACTTAATTTATATTGCTAGGTTAAGTTCATTCTCTCTTTTGTTAATAATATGAAGGAATTACAGTTGAATTAATTACTGTATCAAAAGAAAACTCAACAAAAGCTTTTTCCTATTTTTCAAATTTGTTGTAACAGATAAATATAGTTAAAAATGGTCGTAGATCTTAGTGCGTACCAAAATTTATCAAACTAATAATGCTTATATGAAATGAAAATTGAAGTGAACATTCTTAATTGAAAGTTATAAAACAATTTCATCATTTCAAAATATTTATAATTTTATTAACTGCATATGTTTTATTCGTTGTTTATTAAACATCATCGAGTTAAATCATATGAATTTACCTGAAACGTTTATTGAATAAATAACACCAGAAGAAGGTACCATAACTGCCTGGTTTATCGAATGAAAGCATAGATATTTTTGTGAAGAAGAATTAGCTATTCTTTTGATTATCATCGATTGTCTAGTTAAATTATAGTTCTGTTTACAAGAATCTTCAGTGATACTTATATCCGATCTATTCCTGCATTGAGGAGTATTGTTAGTGTTAACAGTTGCAAAAAATTTACTGACGAGGGTATTGCTTTGACATACGTCATCATACCAAAACCAGTATATAGTGTCATTATGGTTGCCGTTTTCACATGACGGTAATTCAACCGATGAAAAAAGTTCAACTGAACATTCATATTTAGTACGAGATCCATTAATATTTGTAAGATTATCAGAACAAATAACGTCTGTTATATTTATGCAATTAGACATTTGTCCCATGACACGTAGAGATAGAAAAAAGAAACCCATCAACAAAACATATACGTTTAACAGCATTACTATTGATTTATATTAATCTAAAATAGTTTTGTCTATATATTGAAAAGAGAAAAATAAATTTTTATGTGCATGATTTTTTTAAACATTCTAAATATCTTACCTAGATAGAACAGAAAAAGACATGAATACGTTAACTGCCGGCTTACATTTGGTTGAAATACAAAATTTACATTTTTTACAATATCGATATTTGCACAATTCGTATACTTGAAGTTCTTTTTTTTTGAACACATAAATTACAATGTGTAATACTATATATTAGTTCATAAATGTCAAATGCTTATGCAAACTGTTAGAAAAACTCGATAAAGACCAATAAAGATGTAAATGATATTTAATTTCTGAAGAGAGAGAGAGGTAACTTGTGCAAATACTGTTGTTACTTTACTTTCTGTTATTTTTTCCTGCATGACATTGTTAAGTGTTTTACTGATAACTGACTTCGACGTCTGAAAGAATTATTAAAAAATTCTGCTTCAAAATGATGATTCACCAAAAATAAAACTGATTCCAACACATGTTGATTGATTTGAATCGTTGAGAATAAAATTTTGAACAGTTAACATAAATTTATATATTTGAAATGACTTTAAAGATGTCGTTTATTATCAGTTATAGGACCTCTATCATATGTGTTGATGATGAATCATGCATGCAGATGGCGTCTCGTCATTTTCACATAGACCAATGAGTATCAGATAAATTATACACAAAAAAAAACAACTATGGCTAACTTACGAAATATTGTTTCTTAGCTGAGATATCGTAATAATCATTAAAAGTTTCTTAAGAAGACTGAAATAAACAAAAGAAATTTATTCTTTTTAGATATTTCACTCATTGACAACATCGTAACATGTCATTGACACAGTAAGGATAACAAAATCTTGTCATCTACTTTCTACTATTCGTTTTTTTTTCTTCTTTAGAGTTCTTCCTCAACCGTCAATGACGGGTTATGATCGTGAAGACGATGAAATCAATAATAAATCAAAAAGAAATGAAGTATGTTCTTTTTTTCTTCATCTTTTATAAGTAAAAAAAAACATATTTTTTATTTTATAGATTGCTGTTGTTTCAAAATTCGTTGTACCACCTTATGGTCATCGTCAAGATTTTGTACCACGCAGACCAGATGTACGTTAGAAATCTTACATTACTTTTATTTTTTTATTCTTTTTCTTTCTTGATAGATGTTTGGTGATGGTGGTGCATTTCCTGAAATTCATATGGCACAATATCCACTTAATATGGGTCTTGCAAAAAATCAAACCTCAAATGCAATTCAACTTCAAGTTGATGCTGATGGAAAACCAAAATATGATGCTATTGTTAAACAAAATGTTAAAGGCAGCAAAGTAAATTGAATTATGTCTTATTTTTATCTTCGACTTTTTTTCTTGTTGTTTTTTGTTAGATTGTTTATTCAAGTTTTGTTGATTTATTACCTAAAGAAGTTCGTGAAGATGATCCAAGTTTACAAAAACCATCTGATGAAGATTTAAAAGAAGTAAATAATCTTATAGTAATATTTAATTCACAATAATTTCTTGTCTTTTAAGAAAACAGAAAAAACACGTCAAGCACTTGAAGCTCTTGTATCATCGAAAGTATCAGCTGCTTTACCTGTTCAACATGCAGAAAAACAAGCACCTGTTCAATATATTCGTTATACACCTTCGCAACAAGGAGCAGCTTTTAATTCTGGTGCTAAACAACGTATTATTCAAATGGTTGAAGTTCAAAAGGATCCTATGGAACCACCTCGATTTAAGTAAGTAAAAACAAATTATAAATTATATTTCTATTCATTTCTATTTCATCTATTAGAATCAATAAGAAAATTCCTCGTGGACCTCCAAGTCCTCCAGCACCAATTCTTCATTCACCAACACGAAAAGTTACTGTAAAAGAACAACAAGATTGGAAAATTCCACCATGTATATCTAACTGGAAAAATGCCAAAGTATATTTTATTTATTTTATGTTAGTTTACTTTTTTATGACAAATTTTTAATTTTTTTTTAGGGTTATACTATCCCACTTGATAAACGTTTAGCAGCTGATGGTCGTGGTCTTCAAAGTACACATATCAATGAAAATTTCGCTAAGCTTGCTGAAGCTTTATATACAGCTGATCTAAAAGTGAGATTTATCTTATGAACTGAGGGAAGACTTTGGTATTTTTTTTTTCTTCTTTTTATTTTTAGGCTCGTGAAGCCGTAGATATGCGTGCTAAAGTAGAAAAACAAATGGCTAAAAAACAAAAAGAAGAAAAGGAAGAACGATTACGTGAATTAGCTCTCCATGCTCGAACAAATCGAGCAGGCATTCGTCCTACTGGTAAATTATTTATTAACTTACGTAACAAAAGAAAAAAAGTAACGTTTTTTTTGTTTTTGCTTTCTTGTAGATAAGAGTGATGATCAAAGTGCTGAACGAGATGAAATTCGACAGGAAAGACAAAAAGAACGACAACGTGCTGCTGCTCTTCAACGAGCTGGAGGCGATAAACGGTATAATTAATAAATAATCTATATAAAAATTGTTATGTTCTCTGTATTTATTTTAGAAATCGTCCAAAAGAACGTGATATTAGTGAACAAATTGCATTAGGTGTACAAACTGCAAGTAGTACAGGTGTTCAATATGACCAACGTTTATTTAATATGTCAGCGGTGAGATTTTTTTGTTGTTCATATGTTTGTTTTTTCTCAATGATCAAACATCGGTTGTTTTCTTATTTGTAGGGTTTTGGAAGTGGTTTAGGTGATGATGAAGCTTATAATGTATACGATCAACCTTGGAATTCATCAACTGCTGTTGCTTCTCAAATTTATAAACCAACAAAAACAACAAAGGATAATTTTGAAGATACTGAAGCTTTAATCAATACTGCGAAACGGTTCGACTTTTTTTTTTTGTTTCTTTTCTTTATTTATTTAAAAAAATTTGAATGT